GATGACCCGCTGACGAGTTTTTGTGTGTATGTGGGACGGACATCTTCTGAGCAGGACAGCAGGCCGAGGATCCATTCAATGCAATCCACCAACTTACGAATCACTTCCACTCACTTCTCAACATGCAAGTAAAAAGGTATTTCAACTTCAGAGAATAGAAGGTTTCAAGAAAAGTTGGATTTCGAAGAATTTTTTTCTTTTTGTTTTAGCATATTTTTGCTCCATTTCGTAAATTATGCATTTTTGCCATAATAATATGTGTCACGGAGGGACAGACGCAAGCTGGCCACAGGTTCGTTGGGATCAACAGTCTTCACTGCTCCACAATCCTGCTTCGGTTTGGGATGAAAGCCAAATGAAGGATGCTCAAACATGATTTAAGGGAAGCCTCGAAAGCCGCTTTTTCAACAAATCTATCCTCTGGCCTCATTCATCTCCGACGCGACCGAAGATGTGCACCAAAACAGCCTCACATGTCACCGCCTCCACACGTTTGCTGTGGCTGCTGTACCGTGACGCGACATCGGGACACCGATTACGAGTGGTTACCAAAAAAGGGAAGATTGGTACCGGTTGACGATGAGAAGAGGCCGATGTGGCGAGATGTCCTGGCGCCGTCTCAGCCTCCAACCAAGTCGCGATTGCCCATCAAACCATCGCGTCACGTTGAAACCGGTCAGTGAATATATCTCCACGCAAAGTTTATTCTTCGTCTGTGGCTTTGTTCTACCGCCAAGCTGGGAGTGATTTATTTATTTATTTTTTACAAAAAGCCGTCTTCTTGACGCAACATCATTAAAAGTGCCCTTGTACGGCAAAAAGCCGGCATTACAGCACAAATACAGTCACAAACTTGCAGCGAACACGAAGTCATTTGCAAGACAGGATGAAGTATTTTAAACCGTCAAGGAGACGTACGAAATTCAGTTCAAGGGCACACATAACTGTCTGAAAGTCAGCCTGCTATCACTCGGACAGGAGGAGGAGGAGGAGGAGGAGGAGGAG